TCCTCAGGCATGATGTACTGACTCTGGGACTGCACAAATTGTTAGCTTATTTTCAGTTTCTTCATGTAAGCAGTTGAGCCAACTATCCTTACTTTGTAGGATAAGGGGTCCTGTATGTGAGTATTAAATAAGGGGTGGTTAGAACCATATGGTCAGATTTGTGTTACTTACGTACTCAATGTTACCTTCCTTGGACATTTTGCTGAAATATTTGTCTTCCACATGCTGTTCACTTCACACTAGCAGTGAGCTCTAAAGGAAAGTCAGCACGTAATATGGCGATAACAAAGAGTAAAGATCTCAGAGTTAGGAATCCTGAAGTCTTGAGCAAGCTTTTACACAGCCATTGGTGTGACTTTAATAAAGCCACAAAATTTTGCATTTTATGTTCCTTCCATGCAGGGTAATTTCACATGTGCCCTGCCTCTTTCTAAGAAAGTGACCTGAAGTAATTGTACTTTGAGAAAGGGTTATAAAGTATTGGAAGTTTCATCTCTTAACTAGAGTAGTGTGGTTGAGACTGAATTTGCTTTCTGCCAAAATGGTGTCCACTACAAAGCACAGCCCAGTAACAAGTCCAGGGATCTCTTCCCAATGAGAGCAAACAGGGAAGATATTTAAAAACAGCTGCCCTAACCCCAGACCTACCATCTTCTTGGAAACTACTTTAACCCATCCCCCTTTGCATGGTGTGCTAGATAAGTGATATCAGGGCATCACTGAGCTAGCTCACTCTACCCATAAACCAAAGACCTTCAGTGACTCACTGGTTCCTGTTTCCTCTGTACGTTCTTCCAAGGCCTCTGCATTCCTTCCTACTCCTATGTCAGCCTCCTCTTACTGACTTAGGATGAGCTGTGCGGTAATTATAAAATTCTCTATTTTTTCCTTTGTGTCTTATCATCTCCAAGGAATTCCCTCAGATGTGTTCAGGCCTGACACACACCTGTGCGAGTATCTTCTGAGATCATAGATTTTGTGTGCCCAAGTTATCTTCCATGGTAACTTAGTGGTCCATGAGTCTCACTCTCATTTTTAAAAAAAAAAAAAAAATTAAAAAAATTTTTAAAAAAGGAGATTAAAATTAAAGAGGACATAATAACACAGGTCAGAACAGAAAAATTTAAGAAACATAGTGTTTCACCACAATATAACCCAACATAACAGTAGTTACCATATTGTCTCTTTCCTTGAATACTTGAGTATACCTTTGTATATTATAGCATCAGACATAACAAGACAATGTTGACTTTTATCTACTTTTGAAGACCTACAATGTCTCCAATGGTTTGGCTTTGTCAGTTTTGTTCTTTACTGTTTTGTTCAATTGTATTATAACTAATGGTATAGGCAATTCTATTAGAGATAGCGGGAGGCATTATGGTAACCATTGTTGATCACCTTGTGTTATGTTTTCACATTATCTATTATGTCCACCCTTTTGATTTGACCGATTCTGTTCTGTTACGTCACATTTGATTTTACTCTCTTCCAAAAAAGTAATAAGAACCGTGAGAGCAATGAAACCCAAAATGTGTAATAGTCATTGTACAAAAGAGAGGAAAAGAAAGTGCTCTAAACGATATAACTGCATGTATATTTAAGTGTATAAGATAGAATATGATATCACAGAGTTTTATTGGATCATTGAACAGAACTGTTTGCAGTATCATTGATGGAATGTCCACTTTACAAGCTTTAATTTTGTGACTTGAACAATTATTTCTAAGATGACAGTATGTAGTCCATTAAAAAAAAAAAAGACAATGTAAAACCATTCAAGAGAATGAAAGTATTACAGGGTATTTAGAACCAACTAACAGAAAATGAACAATGGTTTCTATATTATCTCCTTGTCTATAAAATGTTTTGTGTATATTATTACATATAAAATCCAATAAGATACAACATGATAAAACTGATGGAGACAGAAGAACAAAAGCTGGGTGGGACTTCAAAACAAGATGATATTAAATCATCACTAACTATTATAATGTCTTGTTTTCTTCAAAATAGCTGTTCATTCCATCACAAACAATAAAATCAAACAATCCGGAATAAAACCATTCTGATTAATGAATGAAAACATTATAAGTCTTCAAAGTAATATAATGGGGAATAATGATTACCAAATACTTTTATGTATTCTTACCGTTTCTTACACTAGGGAAACTATTTGGTATTTATACATGTGAGTTTGTGGGGTTTTTTTTTTGCCTATGAGTATGGTCTCAAGTTACGCCCATTTATTTATAAATAGAAAGATGATCTTTCATTGTCTTCCAATGTGGCTGCCATCTTTGTAAGACAGAAATTTCCTGTGTCTCATTTTTCTTTCCCCAGACAAACCTTATTTATTCAGCAAATATCCAGACATTACAAGAACTGGCCAGATATTTGGATGTGAAGATTAATAAGATAAAAACCCCTATCTTTGAGAAAATTATTGTCTTCTGAAAGAGATTGATATGAGAAAGACTGAGTCAGAGAGAGACAGAGAGCGAGAGCGAGCGAGCGAGAGAGAGAGAGAGAGAGAGAGAGAGATTCAATATTCCAGGTAGAGAAACATTTAGAAAGATTTAGAACCATCACAAAGCAAAACTATGTGAAGAGCAATTACCTAAAAAATATGTGTTTTGCTAACCAGACTCAAGGGTTTAAAAAGTCTGAGGATATTATATAACTTGAGGTATAAAGAGTTTTGCATGAAGGAGTATAGGATTATAAAATGATTCAGACCATTTATAACAATACTGTTTGGAAGAATAAATGTAACTTTGGTGAATTTTGTGTTTTGTATTGTTTGGTTTGCTTTTGTTTTTGATTGGAATAGTATAACATAGTTTAAAAACAAGGACTACAGTCACATCGATCAACTATCAAATCCTGATGCACTTTTGGGCAAATTATTTTGTCTCTGAGTTTCAGTATATTCACTTGTCTATTCCTTTATTCATGGGCAAATAAGTTTTGTTTTTCTTTTAATTTTCACAATGAGAAGCAGATGAAGGGAGAACATTTGTAAAAACAGAGTACTTGTGTCATAGAATTACTAGCACATTTACTTCTCAGACATATTCCAAATTAGATCTCCATAGATTCTACTAATATACACTGACCATCAGGTAATAAAATTGTTGCTCCACATCCTCACCAGCATTTGATTTTGTCAGGCATTTCCAAGTGTCTAACTTATTGGTAAAATATGGTGTCTCTATATATTTACTTCATGCTTAGCTAATGTCCAATGAAGATGGACATGTTTTGAAGTACTCATTGGGACATCAGTCCTCTTCTATACACTGTCTATTCTTTTTTTTTATATCTTTGTTTATTTATTATGAGAGCTTCTATTTTGTTTTCCTAATTTATACAAGGTCATTAAATATTTTGGACAATAAAATGCAGTTTTTATATAGTTATACATTGAAGATACTGTTTTCAATTTGTGGATTATATTTTATATTTTTGTGTCTCCTGTTGGGAATTTAAAAAGAATTATCCTTCTATCTATCCATCCATCCATCTATCTATCCATCTTTCCCTTTTCCTACTTACCTATTCTCCTATGTTTTATCTTAAACATTTTCAAGCTTTCCTTTTTAAAAATTAAAATTTAAGAAAATATTTCTGTGGATGTGTATGTTTTTTTATTTCAATAATACCATATAATTGTTGAATGTTCTCTATAAGATTTCTTTGAAAGCCACTTGATAGTTTTATTCATGTTTTATAGTTTTATGCAAGACTTTCAGTAGTAATATGTTGCCAGTATACATGTGGTACAAGGCAGGAGAATGGTGGGGACCATGCTTTTGAAGCATGCCACCAAAAAGCTGTCTTCTTTGATCTCTAGACATCAAGCTCTACTAGACAAGAAGAGAAATCTTTTTTGACTCCACTCTAAGCACTTATGCATCAGTGAATTCATTTAATAACTGTGGAGTAGATGATACAGCAGACACTACACTTACAGTTCATAGATTTATCAATAAATGATACACATACATTACCTTCAGAGAATTTAGTTTAGCTATTTATTCTGAAGGAAACACACACACACACACACACACCAACACAGTATTTTATAATAATTGCTACAATGGAAAATACAGGAAGCTGTGGAAAGAAACCGATGGAGCGTCTGCTGCTCTGCATGTGGGAAATGGGCATCTCTGAGAAAACATGCTTGAAGAAGCAACCTCAAAGCTGAACACCAGCATGGACTGCAGTGTGTTCATGGTAAGCAGTCTTAAGCTTTTGATCTCCTGAGCAGTGAAACAGTGATATACCATATTTATGACAGGTTTTTGGTTTGAAGCTTTGCCACACTACCTGTCTCTGTCCAACACATTACAATTGAAGCACCTAAAGTCAACATTGATTTCAACATAATGTCAAGTCTGAGTTGTAGGATTCAGTTGTTAACAGGAGAGGTAAGATCAGAGAGAGGACCAAGGGCTTCTACCAGAAGAACAAGAAAAAGGAGCAACTTTGAAGGAATTTAGAAGAGGTCATCTTGAGCAGGATTTGGGGAAGAATGGAGGAGCTTTCACCTGCTGATATGACTCAGGAGTCTGAAGGACACTGCTTAGCCAGGATAGAAACACACAAAAAAGGACCCCAGCCAAGGACTGAAGATGGAAGCTGTCCCATAGAGGAGGTGAATCAGAGCAAATGACATTTATCTTGTCCTCCTAGGATCTGTAATCGGTACTTTCTTGTTACAGTTCTATTTTTGTTTTGTTCTAGTTTTTATACATTGCTGATATTTCTTGATAAAGTCTTCTATGTAGCTTTTGATGCTATCAAAAGTGTCATATTTCAGATATGGGAGGAGTTATAATTTTAATAAGGTAAAGTCAGTATTCTTAATCCATGAATCAAGTAAAATTGACTCATACTTTAGAGCATAGGGATAGATATTTCAGGACATGAATGTTATAAAGGAACTACATGTTATAAATTTTTGGCTTGATTACAGGCTGTCATGGGGGGGATCAGTGATGTTTAGCCCCTGACTTTAGCACTGGCCTTTCTAATGCATAGGGATTGATAGTAGCATGCCAGATCTCCTTGGTCTTAATGCTATGTATGATTGGGTTAAGCATGGGAGGGAGAAAAAGGTAGATGTTGGCTATAAGAATTTAGGCAGCAGGTGGGGCATCTTTCCAGAAGCAATGTCCCAGGGATAGTCCCATCACGGGCACAAAGAATACTAGCACCACACAGAGATGTAAGGTGCAGGTTTGGAAGGCTGACAGGTGCTCCTTCTGGGAGGCTACTCCTGCCACTGTGTGCAGAATGAGCACCTAGGACAGTGCAGTGGGCAACATGTCCATCACGAGCGTGAGCACCTCAGGGACAGTACATACAGGTTGTTGAAGATGGTGTCTATGCAGGCCAGGTGCATTACCTGCTGGTGTAGGCAAAATGAATGGGAGAGGGCTAGAGGATCACAGAAGGGAAAAGACTTCAGGAGAAGAAGAGGCAGAAAGCCCACAGGTCCTCGAAGAAGGCACACACCCCAGCTGTTATCACTGGCTGGCTCGTGACAATGACTGAATACCTCAAGTGTGGCAGATGGCCACAAAGCAATCAAAAGTCATGACAAGCAGCACTGCAGACTCCATGAAGGATAACAAGTAGATGCAGAACATCTGGATTTGGCAAGTTTCAAAGTACATCGTATGGTGGGTGGATGAACCAAAAGATCCCCATAGTGGTCGACAGGGTGGACACAGAAATTCCCAGGTCAGTGAGGGCCAGCAAAGTGACTAGCTTCTACATGGGTGTGTGCAGACGAGAGCTGGTCTTCATAACTGTCAGAATGAAGCAGTTTCCTGAGATGGCCCCCAGGTACATGAAGAAAAAAGGGACTGAAAACCAGTGTTGGATACCTTCCAGATCCGGGAGGACAGTGGAGTAGAAAACGAGGCTAAAATGAGTAATGTTGGGGAGGACTATGGATTGAGGACTGAGAGGGTATTGGGCTGGCATGCCTCAGGCAGTGAGTTGAAAATAAATGAATGTTTTTCTTTATTAATTCTTCAGCCTGACAAACATTCTCTTCACTATGAGTAACATTACAAAAACCATTACTCTTTTGAGCCGTGTTCTCCACTATTACCAGCTCTAGAACTCTTGCTACCTTTTGAAACCTCTTCTAGTAACATCATCCTCACCACATTTCTCTTTATATTGTACTGTTTGTATTCTCCTCATATCCCTCTGCTGGTTTATGCCAGTGTTCATCACTTAAGTACAGTTGTTGCCATGAATGGCAATTTTCTAACTCTTATTTTTGTTCAGACAATATCATTGATTTCCATGATTTCTTTGGCCACCTATACAATGTATTCACAAATGCTAACATCAGATATGTAACTTTGCAAGTGTTTTCCATCCAGAGTTTCAACGCGTCTAGTAGCACCTGTAGCCTGATGTTTGCTTTCATAGTTAAATCAAAAACATGTCCAAAACTTTTTTCTCCTTTGAAATTTGCCTGTTAATGTGCATCTATTAATTATTTCAGTGGTACAATTAAACTCAAGTTTTTTTTCATGTCTCAATATGAAATCCTGAGTGTTCCACATGCTAGACAAATTCTCTGATCTACATCCACTGCCTCAGTGTCAACTTCCTTCATATCCCACCTTCTGCAGCATCCAAACAATCAATCAGCAAGACCTGGAATTTCTGTCCTCTAAATACTCGGGTCTGTCAACTCACAATCTTAATATATGATATCTGAATTCAGATTACTACCTTCTCTTTGTGGATTATTTCAACAACTTTCAGTTTGTACTTCTTAAATCAGTTAACTATGCTGGAGCAAGAGTGATAATACAGTACTAGATCTGAAACGAAATACAAAAGGTTTAAAATGCCATGAAAGCCTCTGCCTTATCTCTCCTTATAGTCTCTCTTCTAGTCTAACCTGATCTTTTATCTCGCATTATTAACAGTGTTAATGATACTAAACATGTTTTCCTATTTCTCTAGTATTCTTAGTTGTATTCAAACTTCTGTGTTTCCATGCTTCCTAGAAGGTAAACAGTTCTTCCTGAATTTACTTTCCCTTACTCTTCATCTGATTAACTCTATTCATACTACCAACCTTAGTGTAGACATCAGTCCTTCTTATGTGTTCCTGAAGGCTTCATGACACTTTTAATGCTGGATTGCCATTTTCTTTATGGTCTCTAATGTGGGAACATTTTGTGGAATGAACCATGCCTGTTCTTTTAAAAAAAATTAAGTTTAGCACTAGAGATTGACCTTTTGAAGCTACCTTTTTCCTTAATATGCTTTAAATGTTCAATGTATATTTGCTTTTCCACTGACCCTATTTCATAATATTAATTAATTAATTAATAATTAATTCAAAAAATACGTGACCATCTTATATGACAAGACTGACTAGTATAGGTTTTGGAAATATAATGGCTATTGGAAACAGACTAGAAAGAAATAAAACACATGACAATACTGTAAAATGCAAGGTTATAGAGTGCTATAAAGAATTAGAAGTTAAACAAGACCTCTCCAGTGAGGTAACTCCAAAGAAGGGGCCTGAATTAAATGTTGGGACAAGTGTATGGATCTCTTGCAAACATTCTAGAACATGGGGACAGCAAGTGAGAGTTTCTGAAGTGGAGAGCAGCTTCACAAACTGAAAATGCTAAAGGAGGACCATAGATATGCAGTTGGGGAAGCAAAATGGGGAGTGGTAGATAACACAATTGAAGCAGGAGCTAAAGACTAGATCATGGATTTGTAAATCATGTCAACTACTTTGCATTGTACAACATTTGGGAGTTGGCGTTGAGACAAGAATCGTGCATGGAAGAGATTTTAGAGGTCCCAGAATAGAAGCAGAGTGATGAGATAAAAGTTTTTAGTTCCCCAGGAAGAATTGACTTCTTGAGCAAGCGAACTCAGTGGTGGTGGATGTAAGTACTTGGATAAGTTGGATTGGGTTAGAATTGTTTTTGTAAATAAGCCAGGCAAGGACAAACTTAGGTTTTTATCACTGTGAAATTATGTCATCAATGCATTTAACACATTGTGGAGACTATGTATGAATAAATATAAGATCTGTTTCTGACATAAATGCCTATGAAACTTAAGCAACATTATGGAAAAGTTGTAGAAATGTGATTTTCAGAAATAGGTAAGAGATAAACATTTGACAGAGTTTATGGCATAGATTAGATGACAACATCCAAGTAGAGAATATAGAGGAGAAGTTCCTGGTATTGGTCTCTAGGCAAATTTAGAATTTAGAAGTGGAGAAGAGGTGGTTCCAGCAAATGACTGAGGCACAGGATGCCGGTTGGACAGGAAAGAAACAGGAGAGGGTGTTTAAGGAAGGGCCAACCATCTGCAGTGCTGTTAAGTGATCAGGGTAATACAGCCTGGGAAAAGACCAAAGATTATACAACGTGGAAGCCCTTATTTATGACAACAAGAGCAGTTTCAATAAAATGGTTGTGAATGAAATGTGATCCTACTGTGCATAAGAGAGAAAGGTGAAGACAGAACAGACGGGTTTGAATGATGTAGCTAGAATTCTAGGTTTACATCTGAGGTTTACATATTCAAAGCTTAACCAGTAGCATTGAAGTCTGTTTTTCATCAGTATATTTATTTATTCAAGGAATTGTGAGAGAGCTGAGTTTAAGCAAATAGAAGTTTGGGTAAGATAGCTTGATTTAGATTCTGGGTATATGTTATGAAAAGATTATGATGATGTAAAATGGTAAATGATGAAAGTAAAAAGAAATATTAAAGCATGAGAGGGTGAGAGATAGTGAAGAAGGATTGGAGTTCTAGATTGATGAATGGCACTGAGTTGCTGATTTTAGGTAAAAGACAAGATCGTTGAAAAAAAGGTCGTCCAACTACCTGAGAGTGAGGCTGGTGATGGGATTAATAAAGGAAATGCTGAAATCATTAAGAATGGTGTCTGGATGAGTACTAAAAAGACTAACGTAGCCCTGCTGAAATCTTCAGTGAGTAAAGCAGTGTCATGAGAAGGGTGGTTGGGGGATGGAGCGAGGGGACATCATGGTGATGATGCATGAGGCCCTGTGCTGAGCAGGATGTGGGAGGATACAGAAGGCAAATGTGCTGGAGAACCTGAGCTGACCCCCAGCACTGCTGCCTCCCAAGTTCCTTCTCCACTCTCCCTTTCTTTACTGCTCACCTCACTACCTCACCAACCACACTCTGACTTCTTTTTCTAACACACTTAGCTAAACCAGTGTTCCTTAAATTCACCAGCCACCTGTAGAGGATAAATGTAATAGACTGAGTTTTAAAAAATCGGATTTCCTTACAATGGTTATTTTTTTATGGTTATGATTTCCTTTTTAAAATGCCCTCTGGCAATTCTTGATGCTAGTAGCTGTTGGTCCTCTGCTTTTTTTTTTTTTTTTTTTTTGTGGCAGCCTCCATTGGGCCTTCTTTCTTTTGTTCAGACATTTATTTTACTCACTTTCCTGATTTTCTCAATTTTGAGTGCCTAAATTCTCTTTCATCATATTATCCATTATTATTAAATGGGTGAACCTGAATATTTACTTGTGCGTCAAGTAGTTCTGCTGTGTGTCAGTTCTGAATTTTGTTTTTGTACCAGTGTTTCTACAGGAATTTCAGTCCAACCCTACTCATTACAACTGAGTTCAATATTCATCTCTCTGCTTTTGATTCTCTTATTTGTGCATCTTGGATATTATCCTTTACTATTTTCAATTATTTCTAACAACATTTTTGAGCTTATGGTTTATGTGACCCTTTTTCTCTCTCTGTATTTAGTTTTTAAATGAGTTGTCTTCCTTATCTTTAAATATTCTTGTATCCAGTTCTTTGCCTTCATCTCTGTTCTCTTTGTCCTAGCACTTAGCTTTGGCGCCATCCTAACTGAGCTCTGCTCATTCTCCAAGACAGTGATGCAGATCATCCAGGAAACACTAACTCTGACTCACTGCAATTTCTTTAGTGTTTCAATGTCTTGCTTTTTACAGAATGAAGTGCTGTGGTGATAGTTTCAATATACTAAGCCATGTATAATTCAGACACTGCACAAAATTTTACATAATAATGTGTATTTCTCAGAGCCATGAATCATTTTACCATCATTTTCCAGAGGATGGAACCTCAGAGAAGGCACAGCACTCTTCCAGGGCTCACAGTGAGCGGAAAGATGGGACTTGGGCCTGTGTCTGTCTCATTCTAGACCTATTGTAAATAACTCTGTAATGTTAGGTGGTAGCTGAACTCTTGCTGCTTTGGCACCTTTCCAAACTCACCTTTTTTTCTACTCCATTCAAAACACCTTTTTTCTTTAATTCAACCAACCACGCTATATCTACTTTATTGATTACATTCTTTTGTATTTCTAGTGTTCTTGGCAAAAATGCTCCTGTTTTTCCAACCATTAATATTTAATGATCATTTAAAACCTCATGCAGATATCACTTCTTATAAATTTCTCCGGGCTTCCTTATGTAGTTAGTTAAGTTTTTTTCAGTACTCACAGAGCACTTTTCATGCAGAACAATTAAAGGGTAAATATACAAATATGCCTTCTGAATCATGTACTTATACTCAGTGAGATCCTTGATCAAAATAAAAGAAAGTGCTGGAGATAATGTAGCTCAGTGCAAAGGCCTGAGTTAAATCCCCAGTACTGCAAATCTAAGCATAAAAAACTTTTATGCCTTTACTTATCTGTCCTTTTTAAAATTTATCACTTATGCATTGATATAGTCTTTATATTCAATATACATAATCCTCAAAAGAGTAAAGAATATAATGTAAAATATAAATATATTACTTACAGAATATGTAGTCACAAAATTATAAGTAAATACTTATACATATATTTACACATGTATATTTTACATAAGATATTTGCAGTGTCTGTACAGTATCTTATACATATTTTCAAATTTTTATATATATGTATTTATGTCATGGCTTTTTATTTTATT